GGGGAGATAGTTTCCGCCATGAATGGTCGCTTCCAAGGCGAAGGATTAGTCGTTTGTCAACTTTCACCTTGGGAACTTCTTTAGATTGGGCTTTTTCCTCAGGTCGCGGCACAGCCTTTACCGTAGGGACTGCTGCTTGTCGCAGTCCGTATTTAGCTAACGTGACCCAGGTGCTTTTTACAGACAGTACTGGGGCGGCAGGTATTGTTTAGCTCCTGCCGTCGCGGCGTTTGGGAGAGGGTGGCTTCGACTTCAGAGATGGCGGCGGAACAGAATACAGATTTGCCGCTATTTCAGCGGCGCGTCATTGTTCGGCTTCGACAATGGGTCGAAGTTCAGAAATGAATTATGCTTTTGTTGCAGCTTTAGGCTGCGACTCTTTCGTTGCTACTGCTTTGGGTGCAACGTTCTCCGACGATTTTGACGTGGTCGGAGGAGGTTTAGATGATTCCTCAATCCCGTGGGGGACGGAGGACGGTTGAGGAATTTCCTCAACAATTTCGACTGACCCGATCATGTCAGTATCGGATTCAGTGACGACATGGAGAATTTTTCCTTCCCTTTCGAAACAGCCTAACCCATCTCCGCGCATTTCAGAGACTGGGCGAGGCCAGGTAATTTTTCGAGAGATCTCGGGCGGACTCTCGTGTTGTCCAACGCGACGTTGGGACGCCTTTTACGAACTTGAGGCATGGCGAAAATGTCTGAGCTTGATCATAATTCAAGACTGTATGCGACAAGTTCGAGAGGGGTGGAAAATGGGAAAGTGAGAACTTTCGATTTTTTTATTATTATTATTTTTGGTCCTAAGCTAAAGCTATCTTTTCCACATTGAGTCAAGGACCGGCGGATCCGGCAGGGTTCCCTGTAATCTTTCCTACTGCCTAACTCGTTCCAAACTCGTGAATCGCTACCAAAAGTGCAGCTGATTAAACTGAAACGAAAATTCAAGAAAATCAAAACAATTCCGAAAACCAGAAGATTCCTCCATGTTGGACCCAAGCAATGTGCTCCTCACACATTCCCTCGTCCGTCACACCTTCCAAATGAGAAATTTGCCCATTCTCCGCTGAGAGCAAAAGATGGGTTAGCAGGCACCTTTGATTCAGCCGGTATCCTACTATTGGTTAGTAGATGCCCCAAAAGGAGACATCGTCGAGGTTGCTGTGTCCTCAAACTTCTTCTTCAGCTTCCAGTGCTCCGAAACCTGTTGCCTCGGCCATCGAGACATCCTTCGCTGCGGCGATGACCGCCTCCTCGGCCCTTTTGGCTGCCGCTCGAGCTCTTGCCACCTTTGAGAATTCCCCTTGCTCGAGGTGGCGAATCCACGCGAGCAGCTCTTTGGTCACCGGTCCAGATTTTCTGGGTCTGACTTTGCAGTCCCGAGAATCCGATCGGATGGGTCCCCCACAGTTGCGACACTTTGTGAGGGCCTTGCACTCGGAAGCCGAGTGCATATTTGATCCGCAGTTCCAGCAGGCTGGAGAGCGGGAGCAACCACGGGTGGCTTGGAAGCCCAAACAGCGTTTACACTGTTCAATTTGTCGACGAGGCTTGTGAATGGTAGCCTTACCAGACTCGTCGAAGAGGCGGAAGCCCGCACGAGGGGCGTCGTCTCGGGGAAAAAAGGCATGCCAGTTTCGATATAGTGCCCCAGGTCGACACGTCCCATGAGGTCGAACCTGGATTGGAAGCACGCCGGCCGTACTGAGAATCTTGGCGGAGACCAACTTATCATCGTCCGCCCTGGGGCCGCGTACTGTAACTATACTTACAGGTACGTTCGGTATCTGTAAGGCGACAAGATTCGAAGATGCCTCGAGTTTGATGTTTTCATCTGCCAGCTTCGAAGAACCATCTAACGTCTCTTGTCTTATTGTATCGTTCTTTGCTAGCATAGCAAAGCCGGATCTCACTCGATGGAGTGAGGTTATTTGATTGTCAAAGTAGTCGAATATGGACTCCAATTTACTTCTCACGCAACTTGTGGACAAATTTTGCCACGGGTGGTCCTTTTCAAGGCGAAGGAACAGTCGCTTATTGACTTTCGCCTTTGGAGTTTCTTACCTTGGGCCTTTTGCCGCAGGTCGCGGAATAGCCTTTGCTATAAGAACTGCTTTTTGTGGCAGTCCATTTTTTACTGCCGTGGCCCAGGTGCTTTTGAGGGGCAGCGCTGGGACGGCGGGAATTTGTATGCTCCTGGCGTCGGGAGCCCTCGGGATCTGGTTTGCCGGGCGAGGAGGGAGGACGAGTGGCGTGGAGGCCGGGCCCGTGGCCATATATTGCGCAATGACGACGCTTAAGTAGACTCTCATCGAGTCTACGAATTGTCTGTTTGACCCGTTAGTCAAAGGAAGAAGGGTGGCTTCGACGCCAGAGATGGCAGCGGAGCAGAGGGCCAGATTTGCCGCTGTTTCGGCGGCACGTCGTTGTTCAGCTTCGACAATTGGTCGAAGCTCAGGGGGACACTCTGCTTTCGTAGCAGCTTTCGGCTGCGGCGTTAATTTTGGCGCTGATATGGGTGCAGCGTTTTCCGACGGTTTTGATGCGGTCAGAGGAGATTTTGACGATTCTCGAATCCCGTGGGGGACGAAGGGTGGTTGAGGAATTTCCTCAATAATTTCGACTGACCCGATCATGTCAGTATCGGGCTCAGCGACGGCGGGGAGGGCTTTTTCCTTCCCTTTGATTGAGACCTTGCTCATCTCCGCGCATTTCGGAGACTGGACAAGGCTAGGTACTTGTTCGAGAGCCCTCGAGTGGACTCTCGTGTTGTCCAAATTGGCGTTGGGACGCTTTTTTCGAACTGGAGGCATGGTGAAAATGCCTGATCTCGATCACAATTCAGAGATGGATGCGACGAGGTCGAGAAGGGAGGAAAGAGGGAATATATGAATTTTCGAATCTCTCGAAATGTGCGGGTTATTTCTTCATTAACGTGCTAGGTTAAGTGAATACCGTTGCACTCCTACTGGAGCTTGAGCACGGGTGGAGCCGGGCTGGATCATGTTAACTATCGTAAAGTACAAGTGCCTCGTCCCACCTAAATGACCGGACCACCTCAGACTTCACCCATGTGTTGAATTATGCCAAGCCCAACCGTTCAGAGAACCCTCTTTTGACGCGCCGAAGCGCAAATTCCTCCTCAGCCTCGGGCACCACGCGCCCGAGCTCTTGCACCTTCGCGATCTTTAACTTTTCCCTTCCATTAAGTCCCAGCTTTAGCTTATATCAGCATCTACTCATCTCATCCTGGGGTCGTTTATTTCACTGGAGGCCTCATCCAGTCGCCCACCAAGGCCTCCTCAGTTTGTATTCCCTTTTGTTCCTTCATGCAGCATCCCTCTGTCCTTCAGCCGATCTCGTCATCCCAGAAACTTTGTAGAATTTCCACCCCTCCGGCCTTGCCCCGTCGCTGCCGTACCTCTAACCGTGGAGATTGAAAATGTGACTAAGAGCTCAAGACCGAGGCACCGGTATCCCAGTCTTTGTTGAACGATCTAGTTAGTGTGCCGGTGAAATTTCGTTCGTTATTGTCGGTGGCGGTTCGTCGTAGGTCGAGTTAGTGTTGCCTTTGGCCGAGGTGAGGAAACATTTAAGGCCGATATTTCGACCGTACCTTCACAGCGACTGACAGTTGTGGAGGTTCGGGCATCCTCTTGCTTCTTTGTTGGCGATTTGACATTTGGATGTATGAGATTGCTTCGGTAGATGGTGAGATAATTGTGGAGAGGGCCGCGAGATGAGTTTGGCTGAGAATTAATTTCCAAAGAAAAAATAAGATCTGAAAGGCATCGGTTGTTACAATACGAACATCAGACAGGCCATAGCTTGTCTACGGTTCGTATCTGGGTGTAGATGGTTGATTTCGTTGAGTTGTGTAGTCGTGAAACCTCTGCAAGTCGGAGTTTCCACCAAAAATGAGCCGACACCACTTCTCCCGATCGCCAACTTGACGAAAACTATCAAATTCACACTTTGTTGTGACTGAATCTCGGCTCTGGGGGGAAATTTCATTCCCAGGTTCGTAGAGGACACCACTGACAGGTGTTCAGCCTTAGTCCTCCGGGATAGGTGAAGCGTTGGTTGGAATGCTAAAAGAACAGGAGCCCCTTTCCGTCATAGAAGCATGATTTTTGACGGCGAAATCCATTGTTGCCATCGCAAAATATGGTGACTCACGGCTAATGTTTCTAGAGTTTTGAGGTACCATGCATGTATACATTAAAATGTTCAGCAGCATTGTCTGCCAGTTCTGAGAAGCAGTTGCAGAGGGCTTTAGCCTGAGGCTCTAGTGGAATAGCGCGAGCGTGAGAGGAACTATGTTTGTCGAGGAGTCGGGCTAATGAAACAAACAAAGTTTCTGCTTCACGATCTCTCGAGGCCACCGAGTGCTTCCGGAGAGGGATTGTTGAATTGAGCCGAGTGTTTAGTTTTTAGGAGCGTCAACCTACGGAAGACCTTGATTTGAAAGTGAGTTTTAGGGGGCGTCGAGGTCAATAAATGGGTCTAAGCAATAACCTTGGGAGGCCAAGGCTCATTCGTGATGTGGTCGCGGGTACAGTGACGGTTAGTAATGCAACCGGTTAATATTTATGTGCAAATTTCCATTAGAGTCACGTGTATAATACCAGCTTCCAAACATGATGTAGTATCTGTAGTGACTTGAATCAAATAAGATAGGGATTAGAAAGGGGTAAGTCAATTGTAATCCATATTAACTGAATAATGAGGTATTGCGCGGTATTAATTGATACTGTGAACATTGTTAAGTTTTCAAATGGCTCTATGAAATTATGTGTGCATGATTCATACGCATCTCAAAATCATTGATAACGTTTGTCAGAGTCGTTCATGCATAAAGTCAAGCTTCCTGAGCTTGTCTCTACGCTAGGAGTTCCTTCCATCCTGGAACAGATAAGCTAGCAAACAATTTCCTCTGAGTACGCCTTTACCGGGCACCAATGTATGCCATGAGTCGCGGAGTAAGTTTCATAACCTCAGCAACATTTTCCAGTCTTTGCAGTGCCTTCTTCTGCGGTCTTGCTGAGCGAAATATTTGTTCCTGCGCTGATATTTGCTTGTGCTGAATCACCATTATCTAACGCTTTTTGGGATACAATTCGGTAAATTTCTAACTGAAATTACAAAGTATTCAATGAAGTGAAACACAGTTAGACTTACCTGTAAGTATGTTCTGAAAAGCAAGTTCGACATTGCTTGCATCTAAGGCAGACGTTTCAATGAAAGATAGGTTGTTTTCGCCTAAAATGATAAATATACAGTAAGATTATAATGCATTAAAGTATCTTACTGGCAAATGCTTTGGCTTCATCAGTAGGCACGGCTCGAAGATGTCTCAAATCACTTTTGTTTCCAACCAGCATGATAACGATGTTAGAGTCAGCGTGATCTCTTAGTTCTTTCAGCCATCTTGTAACGTTCTCGTAGGTTTGGTGTTTGCTGATATCGTAGACAAGTAGTGCACCAACAGCCCCTCGATAATAGGCAGATGTAATAGCCCGATATCTCTCCTGACCAGCAGTATCCCAGATCTGAGCCTTGATTGTCTTTGCGTCTACTTGGATAGATCGAGTTGCAAACTCAACACCGATCGTAGACTTTGAGTCAAGGTTGAACTCATTGCGGGTAAACCGACTAAGAAGATTTGATTTACCAACTCCAGAGTCTCCAATTAGCACTACTGTGGGTCAGATATTAGTATATTTCTTGATTAGGTTCTGGAATAAAGAAGGGTTACCTTTGAAGAGGAACTGCGCGGTTCAAAGATTAGCTATGTTTATCAACAATTATTTGGGCAGTCTAAAAACTCACGTCGTATTCGTCATTAGCCATGGCTGTTGGTAGGTAATCGTTAATGTTGATGGGACGTATTCTGTCATGTGTCAGTTGAAGGGTATCTGCTGGGCACCTTCGCTAGCGCTTAATCACCATCACAGGGTCCCAAAATGACTTACAGCCAGTCACTCATAGACCTGTTTAGCAGTAAATCAAAAGCCACAGCCAGACATGCTAAAATTTGTTAGTTAATTACTAACAAATACCAGTCCGTAATCCAGTCTCATTGCCACCATTTATTAGTCGTGCAAACGTTGTCAAGGTCTTTACTGCTAAAATTCTTACCTAATCTAGACCCCAGATTTCCACAATCTCCTTTCAAACCGCACCATGACCTTCAACTAAGGAGACTACAGAATTCGTCATGAACGAGGATCTCTATGCTGCTAAAAATTGCGCCGAAGCAGTGGCACAATTAGCTGCCTAAATATCATAATTACGACCAACAGTCAACAGAATTATTCTGGGAATCCATCATCCTCCCAAAGAAAACAGATGTAAACCAGATGGCGTTCGATTCTAGTGATGATAACATTTCACTGACCTCCACCGTGATCTCTATCCACTCCGAAAACGAATTCTTTGAAGTCGAGAGAATCCTTGCTGAAAATATTGATAGCAGCACTAAAACTTTTCTTATTCAGTGGGAAGGGTATCCAATTTCGAGAGCTACGTGGGAACCTAGGAAACAAATCCAACATTTACGTCCCGTAATGGTTGAATGGCGTGAAAGACAAGCAGCGGAAGCAAATGGTGATCAAAAGCCATTTGATACAGCAGCTTGGGAGGCAGCGCGTAGGGATTCCGAGAACGAAAAACAAAAAAGAAAATATCGTAGAAGATCCAAAAGAAAACGACAAACAAGGGCTGTGAGGTCTGATCAAGGGAGAGATATGAGATCAAGATCAACATCAATCAAGAAAAAAGAGTCCAAAGGCTCATCAAGTGATGAGGCTATAGAAAATTTTCGAATCAAAAACGATCCAGGGGAAAAACTCATACAAGATAAGGAATCTGACGTTTCGTCAGAGCCAAGGAATCCTCTAAACCGTAGAGCTCCTCGGGTCAAACGGTGGATATCAAGTAGCGATGACGAAGTTGCCAGCTTAACGGCCCCATCCGCTGCATCATGTCCGAGGATTGCAGAGGATGTCAACAAGTCAATAGACCAAACAAAAAATAACTTAGATACAGTAGCTGTACGTGAATGCCTCTGTACCACTCCTTATATATTTACATTTTCGCAGATATCCCCTTTCTTACTTTTGCCTGACTCACCTAAGAGAAAAAAAATATTTCCTCCTCGGAAGCGTTTATCTTCCTCTTCCTCAGACGAACCTCTATCTCAGGTTTTAAGACGGTCAAAATTCCCCCAGGTTAAAAATCTAGCATATGGCGCTACTCTGAATAATACAATAAAGCCTCATCAGAAGGTCTCTGACCCATCTGGTGACTCAAATTTTTCTAAAGTAAGTTCGTTAGCCAAGAAAAGCTTAGGATCCAGAGAAGTGGAATCAGTAAATGCTTCTAACAACCCGTCTACTGCACAGTCAGAAGGCTCAAAGGAAAAGAATTTCAAAAGTCAAGCAGTCTCATTGCCGCAAAAAACACATAACTCTTCATGTAAATCTCCCAATAAAAGTAATGAAAACATAGTTCACAGGGATGAGAAATCAGTTAGAAATTCCGGAAATCTGTCATGTAATACTGAAGCTAAGATAGGTTTGAATGAAAGCTCTAATTCGCAACTTGAAACAGGTCAGCAATTAACTTTGCCTAAAATTCCGTCACGTGATACCATACAAAAGAAGACCTTAGTCAACTTACCAGGAAGCAATGAGTTTCTTCATAAACCAGTTATAGAGGGAAGCATCACTAAAACTCAAAATACGTCATCAAACGCACCGAACAATATAGTGAAGCCTTTTCAAAGTAAACATCAAGACTCTCAAACCAGAAAATCCAGCTCTACCGCACCCAATCTTCACCACGAACAAAACCCAAGATCCAAAAAAAATTCAATCAAACAGTCCTTGACGGTGATCCCTTGCCTTAGTCAGAAAGCCCCAAAAGATTCTTCTCATTCAGAAATAATAAAATATAATTCTAAAAATAGCTCATCAATAGGACCCGGTGCACTAGCTGAGGCAACCAAGATATCACAGAGCCCACAAATTCTTCCCTTGAAAAGTAAATCCCCAGTAACACCGAACGATATAATTAGCAAAGAAATTCTTGGCCCTATCGCTCGGCTGCAAACTCTAGGTACAGCTGTAGACACGACGTGTCCTAAAGCTAAGGACTCTCAATATTTGGTAACGGATCAGAATCATGCAACTACTTCAAACGACGCAGATAATCAAAATAGTAAAGTACTACAAGCACAAAATACATCTCATATCAACAATCAAAGTAAAAAACTTCATGAAGATTCCGGTAAACCTAAGCGACAACAGGATAGCCAAGAAACAAGTTATCGCCCAGCCTGGGATCCAAATAATCCATTTAAATCTATTTGTTACTTCTGGAATCGTGATAAAGTATGTGCTAGGATATCTACTTGTCGCTTTAGTCACTCTATAGACCCTCATCTACCAATCGCCCCGTGTCCTAAAGCACAAAAGAGAATTAGAAAAGCATTGACTAATCCCGCATCCAAATTTCGGTTAACGAAAAATTGTCCGCAACCTTTAACTTGTAAATCTGAAAACGATATTCTATCTAATGAGACTTTACGACCAAAGGAAAAAGCTGAAGATGGGATTAATAGTAGATTGAACACGAGTGCCCTAGCTGATAAAGAAGCTCTAACGCAATCTGAAGATAAATTACATCAGGATTCCCCTGATATCATCCAAAAGAACAAAAATTCTTCATTAGAGTGCAAGGACTCACAGGAAACCTCGCATAATTCACTGCGTAGAACTGTTAGATTCAAGGATCCAAGTGATAAACAAATATTTACGAATACGGAAAGCTTTGACTTTGAAAAAGGAACAAAAATCAGGGAAGACGACAAAGTAGTACCACAAATACTCAAAGACAAAGGTATAACGCTCCTTGAGCTCGGAAATCTCCACTCAATGGCCATAAATGATAACCCATTGATAGAAAACGTATTAAATCTTAAGTCAGCGTCTACCGACGTAGCCAAATCCAACCAAATCTCCTTTCCTTCACCCAACAGCAATAAAGGAGTGAAAGATGTTGTATTAGGCGCAGACGACATCACTGTCACATTTGATTTTGGAGAGTACTGTGCGATTTCCCCACACACGTGGAAGGAAGCCTTCGGTACTGTTGATAAGCTCTATTTTAAACAGTCTTGTATCGCACAAGACTTCCAAAGTCAATCAGAGTTAAATAAATTACCTGTTCTCTGGCAAGATGGTATTAAGGCCGTTGACCCAAACGATACAGAAACAAAGAAAATTACCCAAGATATCTATGACGAACTAGTTCTAGGGTATACTGGCTTGATCGCTAGATTTGGAGAATATTTTGTCCTAGTATATCCTGCTAAAAGAGGAGAATGGGGCTTTCTTGATGAGTCACAGTACAGCAATTTTGATTTTCGGCTTTGCTATTCTATTTTCGCATTTAATGGATACGAAGTACCTCAAAGTTCAACACCCATTGGCACTGGAGCTATACCATATGCTCAGCATCTGTTTTTTATGGCGCAAAATATACTAATTAAGGACTTATTTTTATACCCTCTTGAAAATTGTGGTCCTTCTACTCGCTCGATTTATTTATTATTCCCCCCTTCTGCTTCTCAGCTTGCTGATACAATTAAGACTTGCCTTTTATCACATAACCCAGCCACCAAAATATACGGAAGCATGACCCAAGGATCATGGGATATGTTCTGTCAATCCCAGTTATCAAAAAAAGGAGATGGATTATGTATTAACAAAGATTCCGCAATCGTATTAGCGCACGAGTCAATAGTGACAGGGCTATGTCGAGTGCCGAACCTTTTCGCTATGCTAAATAATACTGACGCTATTTTCTGGCAGATTTCAGAAAATGTTTCAGCTTATCCTCCATATCCATCACATTACCCCAATAGAGATGTCAGATTAGGGAATATTAATTCCATTAGACTTTTCCCAAGTGGCTGTGCAGTATTTCTAACGCCAAGTTTTCTCATAGCCGAGCCCAAAGCAGCCCTTAACTTTATCAGATGGTTTTCACATGAGAAAGATTTAGACGTATCCACACCTTGGAAACTTGCTGGAGCCTACGGTCTCTCAGATTACGTTTTGGAAGTAGCTAGTAGCAAAGCTAGCGAAGCTTCATGTTATGAAGAACGACATTTAAATGATCCACGAAAAAAATCTAACATGGAAGAAAGATGTTTGGATTATGAAACCTGCGATGCAAGGTGGAGCCTTTACTCAGAAATTGTAAAACTTAGCCCATCTACTCCAGATTATTCTAATTTCGAGGATGAACTGGAGGATTGTCTTGTACAAGCTCCGTTTTCTATACATCCCGACAATGAGCACGAATTAATTCGCTGGTTTGCTGCCTGGAGCTCGATTAACGCGGATGTTTTACGAAAATTTATCATAATTGGCACTAACAAATCAAATGCTTTTAAGGCCAGATACATTAAGAAAATTCAGTCGAAGAATACCGAGGGTAAAGTAACACCCGAAAGCTACATACCCGAGAGATATAGGGAATCAACTTTTGCCTCTGATAGGACTTATACACAGATGTCATCACCAGGACTTTGGTTAAGGCCACCTACCCAAGCCCAGATATTTGAACCACAAAGGACGGGAACAAGTGTAGGTTTTAGTGAAAAAATGCCAGGAAATTCAGACAAAGTAATTAGACGTGAGATTACGCGGCCAACTCAGGCCCAGGAAAAGGAAAGATCTTGTGATGGTAATGAGTTGCTTGCGAGTCTTTCTGTAGACCCGAGTGTCAACTCTGGCCCCCTAACACAAATTAAAGAAGAGAATCTCGCTTTTCAGGAAGCAAAAGATTATGTTAATGAACAAAGATTTGAATCAACGATAGAGTGGTACAAGCGAGTGCAGACACGTGGTCGAAGCTGGGAACACCTTGCTGTTCTCGATCACACAGAGGCCTGGAAACTATTAGGCGGCTAGCGTTCATTCCACATATCATTCAGCTTGCGCAGCCTCTTTTAAAGTTACCCGTTATATTCTTGCGAACGAGAAAATCAAAGTCGTATTAGAGTATAATTTTGTCTCTCACTTCATAAAATGCAGCTATCAGTCGGTGGTGTTGTAAATATTTATTTTGGTAGGAAGGATTAAAACTAAGCATATTTGCGTCTCTAAAAACGGCAACAACATTTCTTGGATTCTTTACGTATTATCTGAAGATAGTAGAGCTTGCCGAAATTTTGATAGCGAATAGTGGATCTGTTAATATCAATTAATAAAAGTAATCCTGGTCAGAAGATTACATACTGACAGGTTCGGGATATGGTAAAGTGCAGGTGCGCAATGTGAAACTTCGATCTTATGTCAAGTAAGGACTGACGTCTATCAATCTTTAAAATACGGTTTTAGAGGTAGGTGAACAAGCTCTGATATACATTTAGCCCAATAGCTGCAAAATACTCGACAGTATTTATCACGAAGACGGTTTAGAGATGATTGGAATACTTTTCCGATTAAAACCCCGCGTTATCTTTATTCAGATATGTTGGTACTCAAGTGTTAAACACTGATGCTCAATTTTGAGACAGTCTACTGCGTTCTTACTCTTCAGCACTTTCCCGAAAGTACGCTGGGTGATATGCCTTGATGCCACTGAATGTTAAAAATTAAAAGACTGCATTCGTACTCCATCTATTTGATTTTCTACCAACTTCTCGATCACACCATTTACATCGATGAATCAACCCACTATGATGTTTTGCTAAGTATTTACAAGTAGGCCTTACGCTAAGCACGAATTATTTCATCCTGTCATTTCTTCATCCTCAGTTTCATCCGGGTCACCAAGGTAAGACGAGTTCAGGTCTTTCCATGCTGCAATTTTATCGTTGATAAAATTGATTGCTTCAGGTAGATACCTAGATGATTATTTCCAATTAGTCCGTAATTCGGCTTAGTCAAACTATGAGTGTGCCGAAAGTAACGAAATAACAAAAGAATGCCAGGGAACACGTTAAGGCATAAGAAAGATCGCGGCGAAAAAAGGATGCACTAACAACTTAAGCATGGAGTCAACACTACTACAACCAATAGCTTTAATTACGCTACCAAACCGCATCTTTTGAATCCTGCGCACTATATCGTCATGATTCCAGACGGTATGTGTTTCACCAACATAAATTCGGCTATGGCTACGATACCAAGTGCTCAATCCTGGATCCGTCTCGCTGCTCACAGGCCGAAGACTCCCGCTTACAAAACATAGCACGCTAGTTACCATACGGCGACAGCCACGTGCCGACAAAAACCGGTTTATTCCGCGGTAGGCGTTACCAACTCCCACAAGACAAAGGGATGTTGGCGGTGTAGTTGCAGTTGCTAAGGAATGTGGCTCGATATAATTGTCGTAAATGTAACAAAGGACTTCCTTAGCAAGATCGGATAATTCGGTTTCTGAAATTGATGACTGGTTATAGGTAGCTGCATCGCTTGAAGTGATCTTATGCCGTAAGAAGGAAACAGATATTATGGCCATATTTTGTCCAGCGGCCCAGGTCAAGTAATTTAAGAGTCCATTGGACTACTATAGTCAGCTCTTAACGTCACATATGGTAGAAGGATAGAAGGCTACCAAATATGAACTGTTCGCGTAAGCTAAACTTGTGTAAGGGTCCAACTGTGCCAGGAGTTCGGGACTAAGGGGGCCATTAGCTATATTCCAGGGTATATGGAAAAGGTTGCACACGGATCATGAATAATCATAAAGATTCTCTTCGCTTTATGTAATTCAGGGGAGGCTAACACCATATTTCTGGTGATATGACTAGTTGTCTTTTGAATATATAGGGGAACCATTCCAAATTTTTCAGCAAATATGTTTTTGTCCGCAGCTCGCGCAACTTCAGAAACTCGCTGTAGATCTTTATCCTTAAAGTCTGGAAACGGAATAACACCTGGTCGCATACAGTCCCAGTGTGTAGCTTGGATTCTTCTCACATTGTCTAATGTGTAAGCTGCGTCCTTGTTGAGAGGCGGTATGGTCATCCTCTCGGGAGGCTCGCCCATTAAAGTTTTAGCGACTGCTAGAGCTGACCTGGAAATGGCGCTCAGATTATAACCACCCTCTAAACACACGGCTACTTTGCCATTTGCTAGAGACATAAGCATGTGTGACATGTGAGAATAGCAAGCTGGGGTGACAAAACATCCGCCTAATTCATCTCCAGCGGCAGCATCAAATCCAGCAGATATAATAACAAGATCAGGATCAAACTCCTGGGCTATGGGCATCACAATTCTCTGAAAAGCTGCCATATACTCGCCATCACCTACCCCCTGATCTGCCCAGCCAATATTAACATTCTTACCTAAGCCTGCACCTCTACCACACTTGTCAATATTGCCATCTGGAAGACTCTCGTCTTCCGGTTGACCTGGATAGAATTGTCCATTCTGATAAACGTGAATAGAAATGTAGAGAACATTTGGATCTTCGTAGAATATATTCTGAACTCCATTCCCGTGATGAACATCCCAATCAAGAATTAGTATTCTGCGACAAATATCGGGATATTCTCTTAAACAGACTTTTGCCGCAATCGGCACATTATTGAATATGCAAAATCCCATGGCCTCATTTTGCTCAGCATGATGGCCAGGAGGTCTGATGACAGCAAATGCATTTTTAACCTTGCCGGATACAACACATTTACAGGTTTCAATTGCCGAACCTGCTGATATTAAAGCAGCCTCGGCTGTCAGATTGCCGACATAGAGGGACTTTCTTCCAGCATCAAAGCTAGCGCTAAGGCTTCTGAGCTGTGCAGAAGTCATATCATTCAAGGATTGAACCCATTCATAATGAGCCGTTGTATGCACAGTACAAACTTCGGCTCTAGTAGCTTTTCGAGCCGCAATTCGGTACATGAAAGACGTCGGCGAACTCTTCAAGACTTCTCTTAATTCTAACTCAGAGCCCGAGAAGATTAGGCCAGCATCCCGAAAATGATGGAATATAGCCGTTATACGACGCGGATCTTCGGGGTGGTGAGGCTCTGCGGAACAGTCAGCATTTGTATGCAGCCTCATCCTATCATCATAACAACATCCGGTCGGGCGATATGAGCTCCGAGTAGCGGCTCGTCTTTCATCATTCCAAGTACATGATCCTGAATCTCCTGGTGATGCTAAGCTCGTAGACCCAATGTTGAGATCCTCTAACTCTCTGAAAGTAACTCGCGGATCTAGCGTGCCATCTAATGATAAATCATTTGTTATATCACCTGTACTGAACTCCATGGTTTTTCCAATTGATTAGAGTTGCTCTGATTAGACCAATCGTCCTACAGAGCAAGAAAAATGGAAGCAGCCTGTCGATAACAACCAGTGTAATGCGAATAAGCCATTCATCGATAAAAGCAGCATTTACTAGTTCTTTACCAATATTAACATTTTCCCATATTATCAATAAATCTTGTCGGTTTGTACTCTTTGCGACAGAATAATGTGTTGCCTAAGATTTAGAAGTATTATTAACATGAAGTGTCTGGGGAGACAGTATTAGAATGCAGGACAGCATTAAAGGAATTATGTATACATCCTGTAAGAGCCTGGGGATATCAAATAGCAGAATGTAGACGCACTAGTCTCAAATACTCGAGGCGAAATGCGGAGAAGGTGATAGAATGTCATGAGGTTTGTGTCACATGTTTTGGGAACAGATCATGTGATAACGACTCTGACAGAAAGCGACCGATCAGCGAACAGCAGTGACTTTTTTTTTAATTCCATCAGATTTTAATTGCGTATGCAACTATCTAGCCATGACACAATATCAGACAAAAGTACAGAAAAGATGACTCAATTTACAAGAGGAGCACTCATGCCTCGGATTTCATTTGCAAGTACCACTGCGAAGTTAAAGTGGCTTTTTCTTAACCCCAAGTCAACCATCATCCGTGAATACTCCCCCAGGGGAACGTCTCAAAAACCCTGAGTTATCCAGACATGCCTCAGTCATCTATCAACTTTTCTCCGCGCGAAATGTAATCTGAGATAATTCCTTCCCAAGTGGAGTAGGTGCCCAGGCTACTCAAACTATACCAGAGAACACCACCAGGAGGCGGATCACAACACCTTCCATCGTCGGCTTGTTTTTATAGTGTCAGCTGCACTCTTGCAAGCGAAGTCTTGGCGCGCACAGAGCTCAATTCGTAAACCTCATTAAAATTCCAAATTTGACACCGATCGAGATTATATCTTTGTTTTGCGTCATCTTGTAAACTTGACCCGATTTCCCTCACACCCATTCGAAACAAAATACGTCCAAGATTTGTGCGCCACGCTCTGTTTTTCCTGTCGGATGTAAATATCGGCGTGGGTATATTTGGTGGCCAGTTAAGGCCAGAGAAAGTCGAAGAGAAGAGTGGTCATTAAAATGAGAATGTACTTGGTCGTACTTGTAGACTTAATGAGACTTGGGTAGTAGTCTATTTCGTTTGGGATGAAAGATTAACATAGTGGGGAGTCTTGAATCGTTGCCTCATGGGCCAACCTCTTTAGTAATGCAAAATTCAACTCAACCTGGATCTGGGAAAATGTTTCACTCCCAGGTTCATAGAGAACACCGCGTTCAGGTTTTCGGTCTTTACGCTCCTAGACCGCATTTCCTTGGGTGGAGATATGTGTGAAAATTTTACGACGGTCATCCGGGCAACATTTGGCGAAAGTCATGGCGTTGACATAGAAATTGATCTCTAGGTAAACTACATCAGGGGGTTTGGACGAGGTGCAGGACACCAGACATAGAAACTGTGCTTTCGTATTTTACCTGGTTCTTTCAAATTAGTTATTTTAGCATTACTTGATGGAATTTGTGATTTTAGGGAGATCATGTTAAGGCGAGAGCTGGAAGCGGGCATGTATCCTGACAACCTGTATGAGATGTCGGATGGTTAGTTGTTACACCTGCTCTTGATGCGATGGCTAGTAATATAACATATATCTAGATATAAACCGCTGCTCGAGTTTTTTAAAATATATTTATTTGTTCTGTCTAAGTTTGTCTTTTGGTTTTTTTATTTTATTTTATTATCCTTTCTGAGCCTATGACTATGTAGGACATGTAAGCCCTCTCTGCCTATAGACCAAGGATACCTCTACTGGTAGTATATCCCCTCCCATGCCCCCCGTATAGCTCCCCTTACAGTACCACCACTCACAAGTCCTCATTCGATCATACACTCACGGGAGCCCTTAGCCCTTCATTATCTCCCCTCTCCAGCCAACGAAACGATGGCCATTTGCGGGTGTATGGCAACCGGGAAAAATTGCAAAAACCACTGGGTGCAGAGCTCTCCTATTACCGACATTAGGACTAAATCTGAAGACATAGTGACTCTTCTGATGAGTTCGAAGGGGCCGGCCAGCTAGGCGCTGCAGGCATGTGGGTACCTCGGAGAATTCACACTCTGCCTTTCTAGCCTCCTTCCAACTCCTTCCCGAAAGTCGTGCTGAAATGTCACAAAGGCCTTGACAGAGCGTGATTGCTATATGGTAGCTTAGCTCGACTTCTTTTGTGCCGTCCAGGGCGCTGAGTATTGCCGTTGAATCTTCGACAAAAGAAGTCCTGCTGGCTAATTAGCCGACACCTCGGTATTGACGCCCACAAAAAATCCAAAGTTGAAAATCCCTCGAATATGTCAGTCCCAGCATAGTCTTCAGACATCTGTTCCCCCTCTCGTTCCATATCTCAGACACATGTTCTCCCTCAAGTTGTTTTTCACATTCGAGCAACAGTCCCCCATGAACCAAGAACCGAACTTTGTATATTGTGACCTAATTTTCTGCTTGCAGGTATACGTAGCGTCGTAAATTTGTAGCGATTTATGGCCGGTAATCAATGAGGCAAGCTCCTGTCTGCAATTGGGGTGACGCCTTTATCGGTCGTCGAGGCGAGATGATATGTGGTTAGAAAGAGGTTGAGTACTCAGTAGATAATGGTGAGTGCTGCATGATTAAGAAGTCGTCAAATGGAGATATTGGTGTGTTTGCTTTCGACATTGATTTGGTTGCGACTCTTCTTGGCTATCCCAGGTATGCAGAGCATACTGAGCAATTACACTGGCACCACTGGAATGTGAAAAATTCGACTTTGCTGGAAATCTGAGTGTGTGAAATTGAAAGTTATTTTCTTGGGTATTCATGGGTTCGTATTTATGGTTATCGTTCAGGTTTCGATTCGGTTATTGATTGATCACCGAGCGTGCAACATATTAAGGAGGCATGTAGGTCAAGTGGAAGTATCGCACGGTAAAGTATATGTAAAGCTGCGACGTATTTTTTTTTTTGCATCAGATTTTAACTGCATATGCAGCTATCTAGCTATGACAAAAATATCAAAGAAAAGTACAAAATAGATGATTCAACGTAAGGGAAGAGCACTCATGTCTCAGATTTCATTTGCAAGTACCACTACGAAGTTATGGTGGCTTTTTCTTAACCCCAAGTCAACCCTCATCCGTGAATACCCACCCTGGGGAACATCTGCTATGTATTGTAGTGGCTAAAAGAATACTGCTTTTCGAATATTATGGAGGGCAAGGCTGAACACCTGTACGCGGTGTCCTCTACGAATCTAGGAGTGAAAAATTTTCCCAGAGCCAAGTTCAATCAAATTTCGCAATTTCAAAGAAGTTGGCCCTCAAGGCAATGATTCAAAATACTCCACCACGTCAATCTTTCACTCCCAACGAAATCGATTCCTACTTAAGCAACATCAAGTCCACAAGTACGACCTAGTGCATCCTCATTCCAATGAACACACCTCTTGCCGACTTTCTCTGGCCCCAGCTAGTCGCCAAATACATGCCCACGCCGATATTTATACCCGACGGAGGAAGCAAAGCGTGACGCACAAATCTGGAAGAATGTTTTTTGTGATGGATGTGAGAGAGATCAGGACAAGTTCACAAGTTGATGCGAAATATGGATACAGTCTCGACAGGCGTGGAATCTTGAATTTTGGAAAGGAGTTTTTACAAATTGAGCTTCGTGTGTGCTAAGTCTTTGGTTGGAGGGCAAGACTGAACACCTATTCGCGGTGTCCTCTATGAACATGGGAGTGAAATATTCTCCCAGAGCCAAGTTCAGTCAAATTTCGCAATATCAAAGAAGTTGGCCCACGAGGCAATGATTCAATTTACTCCTCCACGTCGTTTTTTCACTCCCAACAAGTTTGACTCCTACCTAAGTCTCATTTAGCTTGCAAGTACGACCAAGTACATCCTCATTCCAATGACCACACCACTCTTCGACCTCCTCTGGCCTCAGCCGGTCACCAAATACACGCCCACGCCGATATTTATACCCGACGGAGGAAGCAAAGCGTGGGGCACAAATCTGGGAGACAGCTCTTTGGGATGAACGTGAGAGGAATCAGGACAAGTTGACAAGATGATGCGGAGGAAGGATATAACTTCGAAGGGCATGAGATTCCGAATTTTGGCAAGGAGTTTTACGAAATGGGCTTTGTGCGCGCCAAGACTTCGCTTGCAAGAGTGCAGCTGACACTATAAAAACAAGCCGACGATGGAAGGTGTTGTGATCCGCCTCCTGGTGGTGTTCTCTGGTATAGTTTGAGTAGCCTGGGCACCTACTCCACTTGGGAAGGAATTATCTCAGATTACATTTCGCGCGGAGAAAAGTTGATAGATGACTGAGGCATGTCTGGATAACTCAGGGTTTTTGAGACGTTCCCCTGGGGGAGTATTCACGGATGATGGTTGACTTGGGGTTAAGAAAAAGCCACTTTAACTTCGCAGTGGTACTTGCAAATGAAATCTGAGACATGAGTGCTCTTCCCTTACGTTGAATCATCTATTCTATACTTTTGTCTGATATTGTGTCATAGCTAGATAGCTACATACGCAATTAAAATCTGATGCAAAAAAAAAAGTCTTTGGTTGCGAGAGTGCAGGCGACACTATAAACACATGTCAATGATGGAAGGTGCCGTGGTCCATCTCCTGGTGGTGTTCTCTGGTAATGTCTGAGTAGCCTAGGCACATATCCCACTCGAGACAGTAGATTGCTGGTTCAAATCCGGCAAAACACAACCACATCTTTCGCGGCGCTGGTATGCATGGATGACGAAGGCATGCTTGGATAACCAAAGGGTATGAAATTTCCTTTAGTAAGTACTAACGGAGGAAGGTCGACTGTTTGTGTAAGCAAGCATACCTCATAGTGGTATTTGCAAATGAAATCCAGAGTATGAGTGTCTCTAACGTCAAAAGAGTCATCCTACATGTATACATAGCACCGATCATGTGTCATAGCTCTATGGCTGAATACACATTAAATTATTTAAAAAATACCAGAAACTACAGCACTAACTCAGCAGCATGAGATGAATCAGGCTATGCACGTTGGATTTAGAATGGCTAGCGGATATGGTGAATATGGGGGTAAATACGTAGATATGTAAAGACATGGTAGTCTCCAATTGTAGGAAAAGTCTTCAACAAAATTACGTCGGAATCAATCCTAGCCTCTCATTGAGCAATCTCATATATCTTTTTCCGTGTCTTTGATAACAGTCCATTATACAAAGTCGACGATCTAATAAAAAGTCGATAATCGGCTATGTTGCGTCGCGGGCCTCTGTCCAACAATTCATGTGGTCAGGGCCAATTACTTTTAAAATCAGGTAACTAAGCCCCATTTGACCAGATACGGACATAAGCAGCCGTCTACCAAACACTCTGTCTGACTCTAAAGGATATTTTTTAGTAATGTGTATGTGTTTTTGGTCCTATAATTTCTATGACTATGTAAGGACATGTAGGTCCTTTCTGCCTACAGGCCGGGAGTATTTATGCCTTGGGTAGTGTACTCCCTCCTATGTCTCTTTCACGTCTACTTTCCAGCAGTAATACCCCCACAGGTCTTCATTCGAGTACACACTAAGAGGAGCCGTTATCCCGTCATTATCTCCCCTCTCCAGCCAACGAAACGATGACTATTTGCGGGTTTGTCGCTACAGGGAAAAGTCTCAAAAACCACCGGGTTCGGGGCTCTCCTATGACGAAGAGGCCGGCCAGCCGGGCGCATCAGACCTGTGTATACCTAAGAGCGTCTCTCAACCTTCCTAGCCTCCTCCTTTCTCTTTCCCTGATTCATATCACAGGAAAAACCGAAGGTCGTGAAAGGATGTCAGAAAAGTCTTGGTCGAGAGTGACTGCCGTGAAAAAGCCTAGCCTAGCATCCAAAAATCGTTACAGACGTGGGGTTGTCGATTAACTCATGTATTTCAGATGCCCTCCTGGCTAGTAGATTCGGAATTTATGATTAGTAGGGACGATAAAGTAGACGAGTCGAAATCTGCTTTTCTTGAGGGCGGAAGGGTCTTTTACTTTGCTTTCGTGGGCTTTTTGTCTGCCCGCCGGTGGGTAGCACATGTTGTAATATAACGAGGGCTTCTCTGACTACCATTGTAGCGTTTGGTACCGCATTATCTCTCCTGATTCCCAGCATCATTATCGTCATATTTTTCGTCTTGTGTGTTATCGGAAGCGTATCTTTGACGGAGGTGGAGATAACTCAGCTCAAAGCTGATAAGGTGTTAATCAATCTTGGCTCTGTGTTATGATATGAGGCAAAGAGGTAGACGGGGCTTGGACATCGCGTGTGGCTCAAGGCCACAGCATACATCACTAGTGTACTGGTTATGCGAGCATGTATATAGTTTCATAGATGTACCCACAATAAATGGATATAGGTTTAGTCTTATACTTTCTGTCCATATACCTACAGCATAATATTGTATGAGTTCATTCACTGTCAACAACTAATTATAACATCATCCACTCCTCATCACTCCGTAACGTGACTTCCGTATAGCTCATAACCACAATACTCTGCAGACTCTACAGTGGGAGCTTGAGGTTCGTAGGGGACACCACTGACAGGTGTTGATAATAGTCCCCCTTTTCCGCTGTAAAGCACGCTGTATATAGGTCCTCTCCATCTTGAACCTCTTTCTAGATCTGTAGTAAATCTTTTTATCATATGGTTCATGACCACGATCATTCATCCCCTGACATTCAGCAACCTCCCCACATATCACGGGCTGGCGTTGTATAATTACTCGGATGTTCAGAATATATAATTGTAGTTGCACAAGGAACGTAACTAATCTACAAGCAGAGATCTAAATCTAAGTATCCTCGCTTAGTTACGCCATAATTATCACGTGACTACACCCCAACTAGATGCCCCTGTGACACCACATTCTAACCTAAACTATCCCAGTCTACAAGGACTTTTTCACTCGTAAACCATGTAGATATATATTCTCTACTTGATAAACCTAAAGTAACTCCATGGAAAAGCTCGGCTCTCTATAATAAAATTGTAAAGTAAGGCGCTAGATAGTATGTTCTAGGCTTCACAGAAAATGCTGGGCTCCAAAGGGCGGCAGCACGTCGGGTAGCTTTTTCCTAGGCTGAGCTAACCAGCACATGACAGCTAAAAGCACTTGCTGCGCGCAGGCACGACATTAAGTAATATAAAAATCTGGTCTAACATATTCGAGGGATTTTCAACTTTGGATTTTTTGTGGGCGTCAATACCGAGGTGTCGGCTAATTAGCCAGCAGGACTTCTTTTGTCGAAGATTCAACGGCAATACTCAGCGCCCTGGACGGCACAAAAGAAGTCGAGCTAAGCTACCATATAGCAATCACGCTCTGTCAAGGCCTTTGTGACATTTCAGCACGACTTTCGGGAAGGAGTTGGAAGGAGGCTAGAAAGGCAGAGTGTGAATTCTCCGAGGTACCCACATGCCTGCAGCGCCTAGCTGGCCGGCCCCTTCGAACTCATCAGAAGAGTCACTATGTCTTCAGATTTAGTCCTAATGTCGGTAATAGGAGAGCTCTGCACCCAGTGGTTTTTGCAATTTTTCCCGGTTGCCATACACCCGCAAATGGCCATCGTTTCGTTGGCTGGAGAGGGGAGATAATGAAGGGCTAAGGGCTCCCGTGAGTGTATGATCGAATGAGGACTTGTGAGTGGTGGTACTGTAAGGGGAGCTATACGGGGGGCATGGGAGGGGATATACTACCAGTAGAGGTATCCTTGGTCTATAGGCAGAGAGGGCTTACATGTCCTACATAGTCATAGGCTCAGACAGGACAATAAAATGAAACAAATATTGGAACGGAGTTTAATTTGCTCTGCACTAGTCGTAGTGCATCTCTCTGTTGCTGAGTCATTGTCTTCATGACCTAGCCAATACCACGAACTACACGCTCGCAATGCCACAGATAGAGACAAGATAAGAAACAAGAATTCATACCTCACTTTCGTGCCTTTCGTTTTGCATTGAACTAACCATACCTATACGTAAATTAAGGCCAAACGACAATTGTAGTAAAAACGGCTCAGGGAAGCGTGCTAGGAATCTCGCAGAGCCATGTACTTGGAGCTGACCGTTTGATTGACTCTACCTAGACTCTCTGCTTACACCTGCAACAACTCGTCGTAATGGGTCTATAAAATTCTCCAACTAATGATGCCTTGTAGTCTTTTTTATTTTTAGGCCTGTTGCTTTGCTTGTATGACTTAACACCTTTGCGAATATGGAAGATTCATTTTTTTTCATTGAATCTGTCTTACACTCGACGATGAAGAATATTTTGTGGTCTCAATTTAACTAGATTTTTAATGTCCTGAGATGTTGCAATCTAATTATCATATCGTCTTTCAATCCATGTGACCATGATTTAATATTTTACATTTAAGAAATAATTATAGAAATCATGTTTGTAGATAGATAAACATCCTCACTATCGGACGACTTTGATATGCAGTATCACCACGTAAATTGAAATGTAAAGATTATTGTTCAAGTGTATGCAATTTAGTACGGTATTATTTTAAACCGAAATATATAATCTAATTGGAGTCATCAATTTTAGCGATATAGGTGATTAGATCTAACACTCGGCGAGAGTAAGCCCACTCGTTATCGTACCATGCAACAAGCTTAACAAAGTTGTCGTTGAGTGATATTCCGGCCTTGGCGTCAAATATAGATGAGTGGTTGTTGCCGATTAAATCCGTAGAGACAATTTCATCTTCGGTGTACGAAAGGATGCCTTTTCTGTTGTTAGTAGAATAAAAAATTGGAGTTTCCTCTATTACCTTGTAGTTCATTTCCGGCGGCAATCTTCACAGCCTTTTTAATTTCATCATAGGTAGCGCTCTTCTCGATACGACATGTCAAGTCAACGACAGACACATTAGCAGTGGGCACACGCATTGCCATTCCTGTTAATTTCCCGTTAAGCTCAGGGATAACCTTGCCAACAGCTTTTGCGGCACCTGTGCTGCTAGGAATAATGTTCTGGGCTGCAGTACGACCACCACGCCAGTCTTTAGCAGAAGGGCCGTCAACAGTTTTCTGCGTGGCAGTGTAGGAGTGAATGGTAGTCATAAGACCCTCTACAATAGTAAATTTATCATTGATAACCTTTGCCAATGGAGCAAGACAGTTAGTTGTGCACGAAGCGTTTGAAATCACCTCAAGATCAGTTGTGTACGACTTGTGGTTGACACCCATGACAAACATGGGTGCGTCAGCAGAGGGAGCCGAAATGACAACCCTTTTAGCACCTCCTTTCAAGTGTGCCTTAGCCTTTTCGGTTGTTGTAAAGACACCAGTTGACTCTACGATATACTGAGCTCCTGTGTCGGCCCATGGTATCTCTTCAGGGTTCCTTTTGTTGTAGAACTTGACGTTCTTGGAGTTGACAACTAGTCCGTCCTCGACTGCTTGTATGTCTCCATTAAACTGACCATGAGTTGAATCATACTTCAGCATGTACGCCTGATAGTAATCTTTAGTCATATGCATACAATTTTTAAGAGGCTTGCTTACGGCATATTCTGGTTCAATGAAGGGGTCATTGACAGCAACAACTTCGATGTCACAGCTTTGAGCAGCGTTTCGGAAGACAATGCGGCCTATACGACCGAAACCATTAATGCCAACTTTGATCGGAGCCATATTCTATTGACAAATCCTTTGTTAGCTAGTATTCTTATATGTTCTAGTTTTCTTTTTATATCCTGTGCTTTTTGTAAAGTTGCAAAGCTTTTCCAGGTCATTGACAGTTTCTATTAGTAGAGAATTATGGGAACTGATGGAATGTGATAACATACTGGTAATTAGGGTAATTTTATTGAGGTGAGAGATGAGTTGATTGTGAGAAATGTGGAAAGGTAATGGTGAACTTATGACGAGAGAGGGGAAGAAGCTTAGTATATAAGGGGTGGTGGGGTAACTGAATATGGCGCTAACGCGTTGGTACTTGGTTACAGCCAGGGGACTTCGATATGCCCAATCATTATTCATGCCGCACGGAAGCTGCTCGACAAAGTTGAAAATGCTCGCACCTGTGAACCCGTCAATGCACATTGTCAAACACGGAATATGAATCAATTCAATGCGTAGTAAAATAATGCAAGCATGAGAAATTTAAAAGACAGAGTCTAAAACTATCAGGTTTATCAGGCTTAACCGCATAACACAATAATGCGGGAATACGTAGCACCTATTTTTGTATTTACATTAGCCCATGGCCTATTACACTTGTCAACTTGAAATATGCAAAGTCTGTAGGAATTAAACACACATATGTCTTTCCAGTACTGGATGAACGGCTAGAATAAGCTAAGACTAGTAGCTTTAAATCAGGTTTCCTTGCCTTTAAAAATAAAAGTCACAAATAGACAGCCTAGCAATTCCAAAATTGACGGTCTCCAAAGATTATTAGCTCTTTCCTCTTTCATGAAACAAGTGGGATGACTATCCTGTCCAATCGGTAGATCAGCTGACAGCTAAAATAGCAGCTAAGGGAAATATGAAGGATTGTCAATACCAAAACTATCCTAATCAGATTAACCTTTTTTGGGTGCGGAATACCAGGCACCTGCCATCACTGTTGGAGGACACATATCCATTGGTCCACAATTGTGAGATTACCCATCAATTCTAAGCGGTCAAAATCTCGGCCCAAACGTCTTCATTAAGCCTAGTCCTTCCTGTCTTTGTGGTCTAGGGCATAACCTTCAACTTATATTGGAAAAACTAGACAAGACAAGTCGTAGCAATTTCATAAAATTAAACACAACTTAACGGCCGTCCAGTAATTTATTACAGTCCTAGTTTAGATAGGAAATACATCAGAATCAAATATTATCTCGGAGCAGTCTACAACCATGGGGTAGTAATGAGGTATGATAGATAAGCTGTAGTTTGTTACTGGGTATGAACTAGGGAGCTTGAGGTGTCTAAGGGGGGTTTCATCCCATGAGTGATAAGACATTGATAGCTTGGCCTTAAGCTTTATTTGAGTTGAAAGCGGCTAATAGAACTGATGGGCGTAGGTAGGGGTACCATGTGAGTAAATCCTTAAGGGCCAGATAGTAAAGTAACAGTTATCGCTCTGCCCAGAATGCAGCTAAGTGCAACTGACATGAATAATTGATATGATTTTAGCACAACCCAGGGGACTATCCTCAGTACCTGTCAGAGGTGTCCCCTACAAACCTCCGGCTGTCACTGTAGAGTCTGCAGAGCCAAGATTGAGTAACACCTTATCAGCTTTGAGCTGAGTTATCTCCACCTCCGTCAAAGATACGCTTCCGATAACACACAAGACGAAAAATATGACGATAATGATGCTGGGAATCAGGAGAGATAATGCGGTACCAAACGCTACAATGGTAGTCAGAGAAGCCCTCGTTATATTACAACATGTGCTACCCACCGGCGGGCAGACAAAAAGCCCACGAAAGCAAAGTAAAAGACCCTTCCGCCCTCAAGAAAAGCAGATTTCGACTCGTCTACTTTATCGTCCCTACTAATCATAAATTCCGAATCTACTAGCCAGGAGGGCATCTGAAATACATGAGTTAATCGACAACCCCACGTCTGTAACGATTTTTGGATGCTAGGCTAGGCTTTTTCACGGCAGTCACTCTCGACCAAGACTTTTCTGACATCCTTTCACGACCTTCGGTTTTTCCTGTGATATGAATCAGGGAAAGAGAAAGGAGGAGGCTAGGAAGGTTGAGAGACGCTCTTAGGTATACACAGGTCTGATGCGCCCGGCTGGCCGGCCTCTTCGTCATAGGAGAGCCCCGAACCCGGTGGTTTTTGAGACTTTTCCCTGTAGCGACAAACCCGCAAATAGTCATCGTTTCGTTGGCTGGAGAGGGGAGATAATGACGGGATAACGGCTCCTCTTAGTGTGTACTCGAATGAAGACCTGTGGGGGTATTACTGCTGGAAAGTAGACGTGAAAGAGACATAGGAGGGAGTACACTACCCAAGGCATAAATACTCCCGGCCTGTAGGCAGAAAGGACCTACATGTCCTTACATAGGTAGACTCATAAGGACAATAAACACTCAAAAAAAAAGTAAAGCAGATTTGACTGGGGCCTGAATTACAGGGAATTTTTATTGTCAGGTTTTTAGGATATCATAGACAGCTATCTAGTCTTTCTATTGGTCGGCAATTGAGATCCACATAATTCCTTTGATTCATGAAATAAAAATTTACACCGAATGAGATAGGAATCAATCTAACTTCACTGAATACAATTCCACTTATCATTTTCTTAGGTTTGAGAGTAAAAATGTAAAATTTTTGGACTCTAAAAATTGGACAAATTGACCGCTCTTTTAATGATAGAATGAGTCGATTAAAATCTAATAGCTTGGGAAATTTCTATTTATTCCAAGTCAGGAATTTCCACTAAAGCTTGTTTGATCTAGTAATCTTTGACCTTCTCTGCTCTGCTTTTTGAAGCTAAGAGTCTTTTTTTCTCGAATAATCTCGTGATGAACAAGCCAGATCTTGGGGACCATATTATAGGGTATATGATCCCCCCTTCTCGTGCCTGAGGTTTTTATTGTTCAAAGATGAATGACTAGAGGTATTAAAATAGTCTTCTATTTCTTATTCGTCCAAAACTAGTATCATTTATCGTCTTTCCATGCTATCAGTATTTGTTTCTTTTTCGCTTTCTTAATCAAGATCTTCTGTTGGATTTGAACATACTCGTGGCGAAAGTTATATTGCGAGGTAGATTGATGATATCGACAAGGTTAAATTCTGTACCCAGAAACTCTCAAAGCTGTTGAATAAGTTTTCAGTCCTTGTCTCCATACCTGGAGTTCCAAGACAAGGTAATTATCTTTTTATGATTGTCGGCTATGGCGCAAGTGAGAATAAGAGAATCTTGCTCTCTAATGCTTAGAGTAATAGAGTGATAATGGCGTGCACTAACTTAGGATGGTGACATCATTTGACCATTGCCTTCTAAGCTTCCACCATAATCAGGCCCAGGGTATTGTTATTGAATTGTAGTTTGTAGTTATTTTTACTCATGAGTGTTCTCCAAGAATCTGGCGATAAGAACCGCCAGAATCTTGATCGATATCGTTATGGTGAGGGTTACCTGAGTTATAGTTATGAATTCTTCGTTTTATTTACAAGAGCCTCTCGCAATGAGCTTCGCTGATACATATTAAAGGATATCCTCTTAATCCCGCCTCCTCTCTTGTAATCCTTAGGCTCTAAGCTCAATTTCGTGTCCCTTCAACTCCTATAGCACATTGTGTATTAGAAGTTAGAGCTATTGATAAGCTATTGGTCAGCTTCCGAATCTTGGTGTTTGATTCTTGCTACTTCTGATTATGGATCTTTTCAGATTTGAGTACTTTCAATAGTCCTCGAATATCCTTTTCTGACATTTGTGAGCTCGTAGAACTTATATTATTTGAAGAAAATTTTCTCATATGCAACTGCTAGCTAGAAAAATTAGACTCATAAATCAGGAGGACTGTGGTGCGAAGTGGTTTTCTCATGTTACGTTTTTTATTCTCATTGTAATTAGGTGATAAAAATCTCGAGCATTATTTTTATTCCGCAGAATATCCAACGTTGAAGGCTTTTGAGGTACTAGTAATTATTTAATTAACTGGGCGGCCGTTCATTTAATTCAAATTTGAACAAGATTCATAGCCGTGCATCCACTGTTGTTGCCTCATGCGCGACAGTCATTTTGTAATAGAGTATCGATGCCTGACGTGGTCAAATTCCATTAGAAAATAAATTTGATAAGCTTAGATGTTAAAATCTGTAATTGTAATTTTGTTTAACATGCGAGACTGAGAATATCATACTTGACGTCAAATGATTGCGAACAGTAGACGAGTCTAATCCAATCAACAAGTATTACTGAATCTTTCTCTAAGCTAATAATAACGCACTAAGAATAAACAACTCACTAGTATCATTTACAAACTCATACAACAAGGACAAGAATTAAACCTATCTCCACTTATTCAACTAGTCGGATCGGCGGCGCTTCAACAATAACAGATAACTCTCGTTCACCTCGATTGACCTCGAAACAATGTTTCGACCTATAACGAACCGCGTCTCTCTGCGAACTCTGTCGATCCGACGACCGATAGCGTTGCAGGCACAACGACAAGCTCACGCAATTTCAAATCCCACCTTGGTCGACATCGAGAAGCGCTGGGAACAGATTCCTCCCCAGGAACAAGCTGAACTATGGATGGCCTTGAGGGATCGAATGAAGTCTAATTGGGCTGAGATGACACTTCAGGAAAAGAAAGCCGGTTCGTTCTTTTCCCCATCCCGAGCAGATAAGGGGTTTATCCTCACAAAATATACTACGTTTTGAGCCACAAATAGTTTCATCAATCAAGCATTGGCAATTCACTAACGAAAATAGCATATTACCTCGCCTTCGGCGCTCATGGACCTCGTGCTGAAGCTCCACCAGGAGAAGGCATGAAAGTTGCAGGATATGTGGCCGCGTGTGTCAGCGCAAGTTTTTTGATCTTCTGCTTAATCCGCTCCTTCGCTCGTCCGCCTCCTTCGACAATGACAAAGGAGTACCAGGAAGCAACTAATGAATACTTGAAAGTAAGTCATTTAATTTATAAAACACTATCTACAAGATCTAGAAATATTCGCTACTATTATGTACAAACCCAAATAGCTTCTTGAAATCAAGTACATGCATACTTGATATATTCACATACGCTGCTAATCATAATAATCAATGATATTCCTAATTTACAATTACTTTATTGATACTAACCTATTCTCTACCATAGTCTCAAAATTCAGAGCCAATTTCCGGAATATCCTCAGAAAACTATAAGGGGGCCGGATATGTTCAGTCACCGCCAGCATCATCACAATCGTAAATCACATACGGAAATAAAGCCGCCATAACTTTTAAACAATGCTGTCCAAGTCCTTTAAATCCATTATTTTAAAACGATTCCATGGCAGTATCTATGTACTTATAATCTGAGGCACTACTTCACTTACTCTTTGTATGTCACGTTTTCGGAAAAGCGTATATTATGGTTCTGGTGCTGAAATGTTGACTTCAAATCCGACCTTAGTTACCATTCTTATTGTTAAATTAAGTAGAACCGCAAGAAAATTATCATGTTTCACTGTCCTACAGAGTCATGAATCTATGTGAAAGATAGGTGCCGATATCGTCGTTCAAGACATTACTCTGGTTTCCTTCAAATATCCTCAGGAATAGTTGGTTCGCTGATATGTCCGATTTATCAGGATACTGACAAGGATATCAAAAAAATTTAGTTCCCACTTGTTAAAATTTCTCTCCTGTCAATCATCCGTAAAAATATACCGCACAACAATAACTCATGTGGATACTCAAGTTTGCGATGGTTCACAGAGTTGGTTGGTGCTTGTGAGAGTGCTGGGATTAGTAATTATGGACAGGGATATGACACGTGTACATATATATATGATTCAGTTTTCCCGATTTGGCACCTTGAGGCTCATGCAGGTTTTATCGGAAGATATTTGCTTTAAGTAGGATGATTCAGTTTGACATTTAGAACACTCACACTCAGATTTCATTTGTAGATACCACTCGATGTTAACCCTCACGGCGTATAACCTCTTCCGTGCATACCCACCACAGGGAAAAGCGTGAAAACCCTGTGGCTATCCGAGTGTGCTTTCATCATCCCACAAGAACAATGTCACCGCGAGAGAGAGTGGTGTGTGGGTCTGACTGGATTCGAACCAGCTTTCTCTTGTCTCGAATGGGGTAGGTCTTCAAGCTACCCAGTATCTACTTGGGAGAACAGCCCGGATGGTGTACCACTGCACCATCCAACCCCACGTGTACATATACATCGCGCACTTGACCCGTCCAAACAAATAATAATGTTTTTTTTTTAATTCATTTTATTGTCCTGTTTGAGCCTATGACTATGTAGGACATGTAAGCCCTCTCTGCCTATAGACCAAGGATACCTCTACTGGTAGTATATCCCCTCCCATGCCCCCCGTATAGCTCCCCTTACAGTACCACCACTCACAAGTCCTCATTCGATCATACACTCACGGGAGCCCTTAGCCCTTCATTATCTCCCCTCTCCAGCCAACGAAACGATGGCCATTTGCGGGTGTATGGCAACCGGGAAAAATTGCAAAAACCACTGGGTGCAGAGCTCTCCTATTACCGACATTAGGACTAAATCTGAAGACATAGTGACTCTTCTGATGAGTTCGAAGGGGCCGGCCAGCTAGGCGCTGCAGGCATGTGGGTACCTCGGAGAATTCACACTCTGCCTTTCTAGCCTCCTTCCAACTCCTTCCCGAAAGTCGTGCTGAAATGTCACAAAGGCCTTGACAGAGCGTGATTGCTATATGGTAGCTTAGCTCGACTTCTTTTGTGCCGTCCAGGGCGCTGAGTATTGCCGTTGAATCTTCGACAAAAGAAGTCCTGCTGGCTAATTAGCCGACACCTCGGTATTGACGCCCACAAAAAATCCAAAGTTGAAAATCCCTCGAATATGTCAGTCCCAGCATAGTCTTCAGACATCTGTTCCCCCTCTCGTTCCATATCTCAGACACATGTTCTCCCTCAAGTTGTTTTTCACATTCGAGCAACAGTCCCCCATGAACCAAGAACCGAACTTTGTATATTGTGACCTAATTTTCTGCTTGCAGGTATACGTAGCGTCGTAAATTTGTAGCGATTTATGGCCGGTAATCAATGAGGCAAGCTCCTGTCTGCAATTGGGGTGACGCCTTTATCGGTCGTCGAGGCGAGATGATATGTGGTTAGAAAGAGGTTGAGTACTCAGTAGATAATGGTGAGTGCTGCATGGTTGAGAAGTCATCAAATGGAGATATGCATGTGTTTGCTTTCGACTTCGATTCGGATGCGACTCTTCTTAGCTATCCCAGATATGCAAAGCATACTGAGCGATTACACCGGCGCCACTGGAAGGAAATAATGATGTTTAGGACTACATTCACAATGAGCATACCTGGAAGACAAGACTGGATACCTAACGGTGGTATCCTGCACCATCCTGGGGTTCGAATAAATTCTCAGAGCCAAGTTCAATCAAAATTCGCAATATTAAAGAAGCTGTCCCTCAAGGCAATGATTCAAAATACTCCACCATATCAAATTTTTACTCCCAATGAAATCGACTCTTACCTGAGTCTCATCAAGTCTGCTAGTACTAACTGGTACACCCTAATTTCAATGATCACCTCATTCTTCAACTTCTTATGGCTTCAGCTGTTTACAAAATATATGCTCACCACACGATGAATACCTGCAGGAGGAAAAAATTCGTGGTTCACAGGTTTAGGGGACAGTTCTTTGGAATGGGCGTGAGAGAAACCTGGAACAGTTTACAACATGATGCAGAAGATTGGTTCAATCTCGACGAGTTTCAAATTTCAAATTTTGGCAAGGTTTTACTAGTTGACCATTGTGCGCCATCCGATTTTAATTGCGAGGGTGCAGGTGTCTCTGTAAATATCATCACTGTTGGATGATGCGGTGGTACATCATCTGCGCAGTTCTCCCAAGTATCACGGTTCGAGTGTTAATGCTGGAGCAATCAGGTATACGAAGGTACTTTATAATTTTTTGTGGGTAACTGTAAGAGTTTTACTTCAACCATTTATACTGTTGTGCCGCGATTTCAAGTTTTCAGTGGATTTAAATGGGGCGCATATTCGCTTCAGGGGCTATACCCATGTCAGCGCCCATTTCGACAGGGTATATACGTTTTGTCCTGGATTTCCAGGCCTAACCCAAGGGAACAATTTTATTTCATGTTTTAAAACTTAGAGAGGTCTTCGAGTGAATGTCGCGTGGATCGTCAAAAGGTACAAGCAAATACAAGAATGAATTTTATTAATTGTCCTCCGTGCTACAAGTCCATCGTGGCACTATAATATCTGGTTCTACCCTATTAACTCCCCTGATCATCATTACTAGTCTGACATGGCTGCACGCAGATCGTGCTTTCGCTTTTGGACTGGATCCAGACTTATGCAAGCATAAGTCTACCTACACATGTCACCCTCAGTTTTATGCAAATCCAACACGCTCTCTGGTTCTTTGCCATCACTTTGATGACCGCCCACTGCTAAAAAATTTAAAAAGCTTGTTGGAAATATCGCGCAATGAAATGGGCGCAATGTTCATGGAACGAAAGTAGAAGTTGACTAAAAGAGTGTCATGTTCGGATTAAAGCTAAAAGTATGGGAGATGTGCGCTACAAGTACAAGTGTAAGCGACACAGAGCCTAAGCCACAGCATAAACGAGTGTGGCGCCATCTAGGCATAGAAAACCCCCCAATAACCTCCTTATGCCCACGCCAAACAGCCGCTCATATCACCAATAGATAGCCTGAAGCGCTACCATATTGCCCATTCCAACCTCTTATATACACACAAGATCGTGTCGGGAACCTAGACGAAATAGAGGGCCCGTACGTCCACAACACTCCGTGTCTCCATTTCCAACACAGCTCTCCTCATCTTGTGCTTGAGTGACAATAGGAATTAGATTTCCCAAGTAAAAAGTTATTTATTCAGAAGACACATGGCTTTACTCGATACTAACCTTACTTTGCAGATGAATCCACCTCAAACCCCACCTTTAACACCTCGAATCAGACAATTATCCAGAGATTAAAACATTTTAGTAAGTCTAAAAATTAAGAATTAACCAATTGAAATCAAAAAAAATTGAAATTTATGGGCTCCATGAATCTGGCAAAAATCAGACGCATGTTGCTGCGCAACTAGGCACTTATCAGGGTCAAGTTAGTTATTCACTGCGCCGCAGAACTATCTCCCTCCAAAAGAGAAAAAGAGCATCCTTAAGACTGAAAGCAGATGATGTTGATCAGATTATATCTTACGTTGAGTCTTCACCTACAAACCGCCGCAAAAAATTTCTGGAACTCGCCTCTGGCCCCTTTAGACATCTTGGTGTTAGCGAGCGGATAATACAAAGAGGACTTAAAAAAAGAGGATTTCAACAACATGTGGCTCGTCTAAAGCCTCCAGCATCTCAAAAAACTATGAAGACACCAGGAGATTGGGCCAAAGCTCATCTCAATTGGACATATGAAGACTGCACGTCAGTTTTATGGACAGACAAAACTTGAGTAGAGGATGGAAGAAATTCTAGAGCATGGGTGACAAGAAGCTTTCGTACACTCCTCTTTTAGAAGGTAGTAATTTGATACTCTAATATTACGAACTAGACTTCCTAAAAATACAATACTGATTGTGTTAGAGAAAAATCGAAGAGGGTGTGCTGGATGTTCTGGGGCTGCTTTGCAGGGCCAGAAAAAGGCCTCTGTTTATTTTGGGAGAAGGAGTGTGGATCTATTATCTCCCAAAAATATTGCGGGAAAATAGTTCCTATTATCGATGGAACGGTCTCCATGAGACCTTGGCTTTCCCTAATGCAGGATAATGCTTCTGCTCACGCAGCAGCAATTACAATGGAAGATATAAGCCAGAGGCTCATTCAACCGACTTTCTGACCAGCCAACTCGCCTGATTTTAACCCGATTCAAGCTGTTTGGAATGAGATGACAGATTACATCCAGCGTCATCATCCGAATCTGGGTTGCGGAAAGCAGCGAACTCAAGATAGTCTTCGCAGCATTGCAAAGGAGGCATGGGATTCCGTGTCTTCCAAAGATCTTGTGAGACTCATTCAGAGGATGCCATCAAGATTTCAGGATGTGATAGATGCGGATGGGGTACCGACCAGATATTAAGGCCTGAAAATATTCCAGCCACATGTTCAGATCAAAAGTTAGGATAAGACTGTCTACTTTGTAATTTGAAAACCTTTGAACTCTTGTGAATAAGTTATAAAGT